TGAATAAACCGGGACACGCATCAACCGGTGTTCCTTGCTTGTGGGGTGTCCATTTTATTTGTTTGAGCCCATGCGAAATAGTGTGGTACTTCAGAGTAGAGTAATGGCAGTGCAAAGGCACCAAAAGCATCCGCACGATTACGCAATTCAAAAAAATTCGGTGAGTGTAATTTTTGGTGGATTTATAGCTCGGTCAATCACTGTCTCGTTCGTGAAATATACGCTCTGACCGTTTTCAAGATGAACGGCTAAATGAATAACGGTTGGATAATGAATTGGGAATCCAAAGTTACGCCAAACAGCTTCATTGGAGCTGATGTACCGGGCAATTTGGAACAGCGTTATTTCGTCGTTGTTATTCACTGGAAGAGCAGTCGCATTGGTATTTTCAACTCGAAATACTGCCAATATTATATACTGCCTTTATTCACATACTTGCAAATATATTTGATGCTCTTCTTTTAAGGACGAGCATAAGTATTAAAGTTTAATATGACTTGTTGCAACGTGCGTGAATATTACTTTTGACTAATTATGTTTGACTAATTATGTAATTGTCTAGTTTGGATCCGAATGCGATTAAATAAGGATATATTTAAAATATGCGTTAAATCTGTCCAAAAAACGAGAAAAAAAATTAGTTACAAACCTATTCTCAGACCTACTGAATATACATATTAAATTTCATCAAAATCTGTCGAGCCACTTAGGAGGTGTTTAACCACTAAAACTGTGACAAGAGATTTTTATATATATATTTATATAAGTATTTTAAGGTAAACTCTGTTCAATCGCAACAAGATTTAGCTGGTAAGTTTAGTTGTAACATTTCTGCAGACAGCATTATTAAAAATTATTACCTTAACACTCACAAGCGTTCTCAATTTTGATTGGCTGTTTTGTGCGTTACCAACCAGAAGTCTTCTGTGATTGGCTATGTGTTATCATTCGACTCTCTTCGTATAAAGATATATATATATGAAAGGGTAGCAGTCATGGTGAGTGTTGTTGAGCCACCACGCAGATAGCAGTTGGAAGGCAAAAAGTATTTTAATAGCTTCACATAGTATATTCAAAACATTTTCTTATCAATGGCGGAGCTCAAATTCACACTCCAAAACTGTGTGCTTAAGTTTTTATCCTAAGGAAAGTAGCAAATGAATTTCCCTCCATTTTGTCATATTTTAAGGAAAAAGGGAAATCTTAGTAATTAGAAATGGTGGAAGATCATAAAGTAGAGAAACAGGAGACGGAAATGGAGGATCACACAAAAGAGTATGAAGTTTTGAAAAATAGGAGACGGAAATGGGGGAGGATCAGGAAGTTGAGGAACAGGAAGTTGAGGAACAGGAAATAGAAATAGTGGATTAGGATCAGGAAGTGGAGAAACAGGAGTGATGGATCAGCAGGATTAGGAAGAAAAGGACGGGGCTAAGGAAGAATACGAGTGAGGAATGGCAAAAGTAGATCGTTAAATGAGATATTAGAAACGTAGGACATAATTGTAGTACGTTAGTTAATTTCTTGATTCATATTTTATTTTTATAATAAATATTAGTAATAAGAAGGTAACAAAGAATTTGCGAAGAGGGAGTTTAGGAATCCATGATTAGGTTAGCAACATTTATAATTTATTCCCAAAGTTATAGTTCTCTTTTTATCTAACTAAAATGAGTAGTCGCTGGAAAAATAATGATTATTTTATAAAAATTGTAGAAAATTTATTATGGTTATTGACTACTGATTGATTTTATTACCCGCTTATTGATTTTTATTTGTATTCAACGTTTAATTGCATTGATTGTAACATACACATATTTTGAAATCTTTGTTAAAAATAAAATATAAAAAGTATGCAAGCAAATTAATATTAGTAGGTAGCAAATTAATATATAGGTAGCAAAGGTAATAGTCAGCAATATATAGGTAGGATAATAGCTTATCCTACCTATATATTGCTACCTATATATTGCTATATATTGCTGCTTATTATATAATAGCAATAGCAATATATAGGTATAGGATAATAGCAATATATAGGTAGCAATATAGGTAGCAAATTAATATTTATGTAGCGTAAAATTAAAAATGTTTTTGAAATTTGACGATTTACAACTAGGGAAGATGGGACTAAAAGCATTAAAACATCTCAGATTTCTAGATAAATCATAAATATGAGTATTAGTAACACTTTAAATTTTTCATGAAATTCAAAATGCCTTTGGTGTTTTAAGTTTTGCCTTTCACTGTAATTCAAATTGCTGAATTTCGATCGATTTTTTTTATCATTTGAATCTGAATTTGTGATCATAACTATTTCGATCATTTTAAAACTAATGTTTTGTCAAGAGCCAAAAAAAAACATAAGTGTTTTATTAAGAATTTCCTGTATATTTCTGATTTAAATTCCAAACCTTATCCAGATTTTTTATAACAATTAATGGTGTAGCAGAAAACTAAAATTAAAATAAACATCTCCATCTATCCAATGTTCCTTTGTTTTACTAAAAAAAATTCAGTTTTGATTAATTAGTTTCATAAAATAAATAAATATTTTTTTAAAAATTTTTGTTAAGAATATTCAGAAAATAAGATATAGGATAGATAAGATGATTATCCATTAACTGTGATTTGTTTAGCTATATGTTGTCCTTGTAACAAGTACGAAGTTGTTATCAATGTTCGTTTAAACATTTTTAATATGTTTCATCTCCAAAATTATATTTCACGATCACCCTATTTAAAAGCTCTTCAAAACATTACCTCTATCATTATTTTTTATTTCTGGTTACATAAATTATAGATTATATTTCAAAAAAATAAATTTTGTAAATCACGGTTTAAATCAGTAAATTCAATAACTTAATATAAATAGCCATACAAAGTAGTAACGAATTTAATGAAATTTCAGTCAAATTAATCAATCAATCAATCAAAAATCAATATTTGTGACAGACGCCTTTTTAGATACTCAAATAAAGTATAAAATTAATTTTGCCTCTGAAGTTATTACGTTAAAAATACCAGAAACTACAATTATTTTTTTTAATGCGTTATTGCCAAAATAGGCATCCCGCAGACGAGGAGCCCTTGCAATAAGACCAATTCCAAAACTTCAATGTTTGTATTTTTAAAGACTAAAACTAAAAGATTTCCTTTAAAAATTCCATCGCTTTAGGTTACCAGTTTCAGAAATTTGAGAGTATTTTTCAAAGTAACAATTTGTTGCAGAATAAGAATTAAATTCTTCGACGCGCAGAATTTTTATTAAACATATTTTTCGATTTTTTTTTATTAATTAGGTCAAAAATTAATGAAAAATAATATATTTAGCATTTTAATTTATGGTTATGAATTATAATTATAACATGAAACACTGGTGTATTTCTCTGCTTTAAATGCTAAATAATTCATACACGGCTTACTTCCGAACAATAATTTTTAAATTTGTGTTTATTTAGGTCTATGAAAAACAATTATTTCATTATTGAAATTTATTTAATTTGCAATTATTAATTGATTTTTGACTATCACAAACTACGTTTTAGGGGATTTTATATTTTAGTGCAAATAAAATTCCGATAATCTAAGATATTTTTTTACTATTTATTAGACAGTTTTTGTATTTAAAAAATATCAAAATATATTTTTTCTGGTAAATAGAGCACTAGGAAAAATATATTAAACAGAAACCGGTGTCCCATTTGTGTCAAAGGGTTATAGGACAAATTTCTTAAATTTTATTTTAGCATCTTTTAAATGTTATTCTTTTAAAATGTAATTAGTATAACGTTTCTGTTGAAATATTCCCAATTCTTTCCGATTAATTTTGGCAACTTAAATGTTGCATCGATTTTAGTAACTATTAAACTATTTTTTAACATTAAAAAATGCTTTTTGCTTGTAATTAGAGCTTCAGAAAAACTATAAAAAAGGGACGCCTGTTACTCATCTGTGTCAAAGGGGTATCAGAGAAATCAATTTTTATAACGTTTTCGATTATATGTTCTCAATTCCTTGCAAATAATTTTCAACTTAAAAGTTTGCAAATGTCTTATCAACCAAAAGCCAAATCGTTCATTATTTAATGTGTACTATTTCAAAATAAAATAAAATAAATGTATAGAGTACTTGGTTTGTTCTTAAAACTTATAACACGCTTTAATTCTCTGTTTTATATTAATTTATGATGCCTCCAATCATAAAAATCATTTTAAATTAGAGTTTTATAGTGAATTCAAGCATAAAATTAGCCCTCAAAGTTACACCAAGTCTCTTAAATGATATCTCCTTGAGAAACTAGTACAAAATTTAACAAACTGGTATAGGTTAGTAAAAGTAATAATTGATTAAAAGTTTACTAATTCTAAAAAGATAAGGAATTTTATCTTTAAATTAATTGCTAATGAAACGTAACAACACTGTTATATTAGTTAAAACGTAGTATTATCTTTTAAAATCCTTTTTAGCAGATACTCCTGAGCAATTAGTCTGAAAAAAATAATAATGTTCTGTAATATATTGAATTAAAATGAAGTCTGAAACTAAGCTCATTTTTTTATTTTAAAAATGATACCTTTTCAGCGAGAAATAGTTGGAATAGTTTATATTTAATAAATATCTGAAATCATTTTTTTTTATCTTAAAACATTTAGATACGTTCATATTTTAAGAAAGAAATTAGACTTCTTCTTCCTTTTTAAAAGCAAGATATTTTTGAGGATTTATGTTACCAAAAACACATCTGAATAAACTTTCGCTCCTACAGATAAGTTTCTTAAAGATCTGAAAAATAAAATTCCCTTGACACGTATTCAAAAGAATCGTTTTTTAAATATCTTTCACAATCAACATGAGTATTAAGACGAAAAATATGTCTAAAAAGATAAGGTATTCTAATACCTTATGTCATACTGTGTCATAGGATTTACATTATATTTTCACATGTGTAGATATATTGAAAGGCGTTATATCTGGTCATGATAATAAAAAAAATCTTTAAAATAATATAAATAGAAGTAACTCTTTCATTGCAGCTCATTTTATCATAGATTGTAGCATAATTCCACATTGTAAAAATGCCATCTATCAAAATTCAAACAGGGTTTCTGATTGGTATTGTCGTATGCTTACTTTCTGGTATGTGACCATTTAAATTTATATTTGAAAAAGCATATGACTTGCAACATGTATAATAAATTATGTTTCATATTTTCTATTATATTTTCTATTTCCTGTTTTATATTGCATGAAATATTTCTGTGTATTGAAAATTATGTCGGGTTGAGCTTACAGATTTATTTTAGATTCAATAAATTTTAATATTATGTAGAGTAAGGGTGGACACAGGAATATAAAGGTTCCTTGCCCTGAAGGACTTGATGATTTAAAATGTATTTTTTGGTTAAAATATTTTACCTTCACATGCTATCCCGGGTGAACAAAAATTGAACCAGAAATAAGTTTTCATTATTTTGCCGATATTACGTAACATTTGAGATAGATTTTTTTGTCGAGAGCAATTAAAAGCACTCTTCATTTACTCCATCTTGAAAAATAACCACTGAGCAATGCGAAAAGAAAAACTCGTTTAATACATATTTGATAATATTAGATAAGATTTATCTTTAAAATAAAAGTGTTGAAATAGAAATGATTCTGGAATCAAAGTATGTTTGTGACAAACAAACAATAGATTCATTTATTAGTTTTCATTAATATGAAATATTTCGCCTCTACATACAAACCCGGGGAAGCAAAAATTGAACCAGAAATATTTTTTTGAGGATTTTGACGATAAAATTTAATTTTTCTGATAGATATTTCGTCAATAGTAATTAATAGCAGGCTTCATTAGATACTTACATTCATTATTACTTCACTATTTCTTCTATAAAAATAACTAATGAGCAATGCGAGCTACTGAAAACTAATAACTGCCTATAAACAAAAAAAAATAATTAAAAAGTGTTATGAGTAAAATTAGAAATCTAAATTAATCAATAAGTGATTTGCTTTTGCAGGTAAATTCAATCATCAATTCATTTTTTTTTTCAGAATAAAAAACAAAATAGGTCTTCCAAAAATAATTATAAAATCAAATAAATAAATAAAAGTTATTGGATTTGTTTGCGTATGGGTAACAGAAAAGTAACAATATATGTAAAAAATTATGTGCACCATAAAAACTATGTATTCTTAGCTTATATTGGCACATTTATTTTTTAGAGGCATAAAAATAGCAAAATATTGCAAACACTGCCTTATTTACTCTACTGGACAGTAATTTCCTAGGCATTTTATAGATTAAATTGCATTCGTAATTGTTAAAAGATTACGTGAGTTTAAAGCAAAGTTTTTTTTTTTCATAGTTATATTCGATTCACCACATCTACAATAACCTTAGTTTCGGAAATTGTATAAAAATTATTCTGTTTTGAACAATATGAACATTTAATATAAGGTGTTTTGTAATTACTGTCCTTAATACAAAAATATATAATTTCATAATTATGTCATTACAGGAACATATGCCTTTGAGGGAAATTTTTTTTATTTAGGTGTAAAAAAAACGAGTTACAAAACAAAAACGAAATAACTGATACTATTGTATACTCCTTCTGACAAAAAACTACTTTTCTCGATTTTAATTCCAATGTTTTCGGAAATGATTGTTGGAATTTAAAGGAACCTTTTTATCACATGAATAAAAATTCATTTCCTTCATTGATATAGATTATGCTAAGCAGAGCCGAATTATAACTTTCGTAGGCCCTAGGCATAGGTACCCCGTTTTTGGGCCCTCCCCTTTTTTCCCCACTCCTCCCCTCTTTTCAAAATATATGCTAAAATTTTCTTGCATATTTTTTTTTTACATTTTTATTAATATGGATTTTAATTTACAAATTTGTTTATCGAACTTTATCTGCAATACCGACATACTGCCGATATTGCAGTTGATATCGATAATACCATTATGATTTGTTCGCTCGATAACTATGTAAACACTTCACGTCAACAATACAACAACAAACCAGCAAAGAAAACAGTGAAATTGATAGTGAGATTAATTACAAGAAATATTTATACTACAAATAGCTTCATAGTTTTCATGATACTACTATGATAACTAAGTGAAGGAAATTAACATTGTCAAAAGTAAATCTTTTGAAATTATTTATAAATAAATTTGCAAGGTAGGTTAAATGTTTACTAATAGTAAAAAAAATGATTTAATACTATTTTAATAAAATGCGTAGTTTGGAATTCGACAGCATAATACAAGATTTCGTTGAATCCAAAAATCGCAAAAAAGTAATATATTAGATCATAAGATTCTGCAAAATAATTTATTACCGAAAAATATTATATTTTTATTTGTATCTTCATAATTTTGTGCAAAATACACTTGTTGTTTTTAAAGCTAAATTATTTTTGTCAACAAATATTTTTCTCCCAAGTTTTTCACAGGCCCCTGAATTTCGTAGGCCCTAGGCAAGTGCCTAGTGTGCCTATAGGTTAATCCGGCCCTGATGCTAAGTATTATATATTTCATTACTTATGTACCCTTATTTATATTCTTCATATTTAAACAAATGTATATACTAATTTAGAATCGTAAATTCTGAGCAGCATGAAAATTAGACCATTCTGAAAATTTTTATTATCGGCTATGACTTTTCAATTTCACAGGCAAAGTTTTAATCCCCTGCCATCTTGAAAATAGTTTTCTATTTTTAACGGAAGTTGACAATATTATTGTTACAGTCAATGACCGAAATCATGAGAATGTCGACTTTCACCGGTGAATCTTAAGAATCACGTAGCTGCTTTGGTGAATGTCCAAAATTTTTGTTATATCCGATTTGCTGTTAATTTATTCGTTGATATTAATTATATTTATACGATATTTTAATACCTGCTGAGGATGGATTAGGAGAAACATCAGTGTTCGGAGTACCGGGCAAATGCATACTGGGCAGTGGCACTTGACCTTACAATAAACAGTGATGTAGGTCATGCCGGGCAAATGGATTCAGGGCAATGGCACATAACTAGACCTAGTACATATTTCGAACATTTAATCAAATTGACTATGTGTTACCAATATCCATCGGTAGAAGGCAACAATCACCAATTTCGGAGTCGCGATGGCTCAGGGGATAGAGCGTTCGCTTTCCAATGAGGTGAATCGCGGGTTCGAATCCCGGCGTTGGCTGGTCGATATGAATACCGTATCCTGTTTGCACCGACCACATTGCTGACGTGAAATATCCTAAGTGGTAGACGGATCATGGGTTAGGCACTTTGAAGTCAGGCTAACCGTGAGAGGTTCTCACTGTCGTCCTCTTCATGTAACGCAAATAAGGGTTAGCTCCATCAAAAAGTCCTCCCCGATGGCAAATTTCTCCCAATACTTGATCCCTTGTCTTACTGATTGGGTTCGAAATTACAAGGCTACGGAGTTGAACATTGGAAGTCGTAAGCCCAAAAGTTGGATCTGCTACTCAAAAAATCACAAATTTTAGTCATTCATTGTGACATAATAATAAATCGTGATTTTTTTTTCTAATATACTTTAGCATAGCTACCAACCGTTGCTGCGAAGAGTTTTTTTCTAGTAATAGTAAAATGTGTATAGTATTATTTATGCTTTGATTAATAAATACGAGTATCAACTTTTAGTTACCCAAATATTAAAACCCTTTCAAAACTTTTGGTCCTCAGAAAAGATGATGGAAAAGTATCTGAAAAGGGGCTCATAGAATATTTACTACAAGATCAACTATCCTGGTTTTTGTTTCACAGCATGGGATTTGGCACAGACTAGTTAGAAAAGATGTTAACGAATGGAATAATGATCCCCGATTACCAAGAATCTAAGACATATGTTCCCTCATGTCAAACTAGTGAATGATTTCTCAAAAAGAGCTGTGAAGCTAATTCACAAGACTTCTTAAAATGCAAAAACAGTTTTTAGTGCAAGTGGTCGATTGTTATCATAAAATAATCTCCATTTTTTAAAAAATTAAATTTTCAATAATTGTGATTATTAATTAGATGTATAATGTACTGTCTAAACTGAGTCAAATGTTTGAGTTACTGCTTATTGTTACCTTGTTATGAAAAACTAGATTCTATTAGAAAATATTTTTGACCTTCTTTTAGTACGCATGAAAACTATATGGCTTAAAGATTATATCAGTAAATCGTGTTGAGCAAGGATCGAAAAATCGATAACTGACAAGGAAATTTGTAAACATTCATATTTTTCTTGTCAGAATGTCATAGGGTAGGTGCTCCTTCGATTTTTTTAAAGTATTATTTTCTCTTACATGGTAGACAGATAATGTGTTAGAGTCCCCTTTCCTTCTAGCTAACCATGGGAGGTTTTTGTGGTTTACCTCTCCATGTTACGCAAATGCAGGTTAGCTCCATAAAAAAGTCCGCCACGAAAGCAAGTTTCTTTCAATACTTGATCCAGTAGTTCCCTTGTCTTTTGAGCAGGGTTCAAAATTACAAGGCTATGGAGTTGAACATTAGTAGCAGTAAACCCTCCAAAAAATTGGGTCCGCTGCTTAATGACGCTTATAAAATAAAATAAGATTCAACTAAATTTTGCTAAACAAGTGATCAACTTGCCTTGCACCACTAAATCTCTCAGACCTCATTCATAAAGCTGAAACTCCTATTCATACAGCTGAAACTTCAATTTGTAAGACTGAAGCTCCTATTTATAAAGCTGAATATTTTCTTCCACGGAGAATAATAAGGTAAAACAAATAATACTGACAATTTCTACAAAGTCCGAGATTTCTCAGGCTAACCATTAATAGCAGTATGTATGAACCCGGAATAACTGTACATACTTCGATATCAGGTTAAAATTTATCCTTATTTTTGGTCTCGAAATCTAAAAAATCTAATAGAGATTCGTTCGATTCATCTCCACATCCTCCAAAAAATTTCCCAAGCATACAATGTTTACGAATGCCAAAGCCTTTATAATTTAAATTCAGAATTAAAGAGTATTTCGAACGATGACTTTAATATCTGTATCTGAAACTTTCATAGGAGAGTATATGCAATAGTGTTACATCAGGTAGAGACACGGAAACACGGAAACACGTTAAATGGATACCTAAATCCGTTAGAAACTAAAAAGTCAGGAAGAGATTCATTCGAAGACTATGGTGAATAATTTATTCCAATAACCACTGAAGAAAAGTTAAGAGAGCAAGGTTTCAGAAAGTCGAAGTCATTGAAATAACAGCGTAAGATTTATGCAAATTCGGAACAAAGATTTAAATTTTTTGTTTTGTTTTTGAAACTTATATAATTAGCTGGGTGAGAAGCGTATTCCGTCCGGAAGAGGTTAAATAGAACATATTAATTGGATATGTAACTCACATTACATTTTCAGGAGTTCGTTGCCCAGCCCTTCACACTTATCAGCCCTAGCTAACAACCACACTCTGTAGTTTTCACAATTTCCTGAAGAAAACGAATGAAGTGTATTGATTTATATTTGTTTTCCATAATGATTACGTGAATCAATTATATTTTGAATTTTTTGACATTTAACACTAAATTGCAAAGCTTTGTTTTTAATTCTTAAATAAAGTATTAAACAAAAAAATTTCCCTGGCGGAAAAAAAATAATTTCATAGTTCTTTTTGGTATTCGAACATTTAATAACCAAAAAGAAATTCTAATTGAAAAAAAACATGAAGTTTTGTTGATTAATGAATTAGAAATTAAAATTACGCAGCACTTGCAGAACTTTGAAATGTTTAAATTTAAGCATTTCTTTCGGATCTGTGAATTTTTCCAATGGTGTTTAATTCAGACCATTAAAACAGTGCACAGATCCAGAAAAAAAAATTCACCATCCATTATTCCATTCCTTCTTTATTTAAAAAGTCTTGCACATTGTATATATAAAAATAAAAATATAAACTTAATGTATTGTACATTTTATAGCTAATCTGTCGTCGGCTGGTAAGTTAATCTCTTTCTTTTATATAAAAATCATTCAATGAGCATTTTTATAATTATTCACTCCACCTTAAATACATTTCAAGTAGGTGGAATCATAAAAAAACTTCCTTTGCAGTTAAGTAGATCGCCACTAGTAAAATTATACTACTAAATAATTCAGGGTTTATAAGCTATACTCGGTTGCAAATTACGAAATTACTACTGCTGTATAGGATATAAGTAATCATCCGCGATAGCATATAGTTCCATTATCAAATTATACGAATATGCTTTCAGGGCAAGATAAAAAGCTTTTAAAAGTTAAACACGTCAGTCAGAAACTTAATTCGTGCTATCGTGTACGATATACATCATAAAATTATTAAAAATATGTTATAGTTTTGTAGTCTTACTGGATTTCTGGACTTGGCGATATATTTTAGTAACGAAGGAGAACATTCGTTCTCTTCAAAAAGAAACAACTATATGACGTAGCAAGAGCATTGAATTTGATTGGCTCACTGAAAAGGGCGAGTCTTTTGCCGACATGCTTATTAAATGCGGGATAAAGAATTTTTACTTTTATTACGCTGTAGAGGAAAATCGACTGCCAGAAATAATATTTATTATTCTTTCTTCGGTTTCTTTAAATGCGAATAGAAAGATATATATTTGTTACGAATTTCAGATTATTAACTCTGCTTACTTGCTAATTGATTACTGTTGTTAATAAAGAGGCAAACAAAATGAAGCTGTGCAATGTCGTTTCAAGAATTGACGATATTGATATACCTTTGCTCTGGAAGCTTGGCATCCATTGAACGTGCACATGCAAACATGCTCTCTTACAAATCAACAAACGTGACTTAAGAGCGTGTGAGCCTTCGGATCTTAAAACTAATTTGGTATTGATTTGTAGCGTATCTACCACTACAAAATTACAACTACAATTCACTAGTATATAAGACATGTTAACTCGACTCTATGTCGGGGTACCTTTTCATAGATGAAGGTTGACATGGTCTGTAACTACTCTCCCCACAGATTTAAAGAGGGAAAGTAGGAATGTAAGTTAAAGTAGTTAGCATAGAACCCAGAAATCTCTCAAAAATGTCCAAACGAAATCATAGTCATCAGTATCAATAATCAGTTTAAAAGTATTCACAAGTAGTAACTAATTTGAGCTAACGCAAGTATAATAATTATTTCATACACTACTTTTAAGGCCAACTTCAACTCTTTTTTAATATAAACCTTTTTATCAAGAAGCATATCAACTGCATCAATTTAAAAATAAAAGCTAATATTTTACAACCGGAAAAACATCTAGAAAAATCTCTTTACCTGACATTGACTGGTAAAAACTTAAAAAAAAGACTTAGTTAAGTACTTTTTGTAACAGTAAAGAGGCTGTAACTAAAGCAAAACACAGAAACCACCAGTTTGAAATTAAATTTGAAGTTAGCTCACCTATACTAAAACCGTACCAGAAAAAGTCAATTCTGATAAAGTGACTTATTCCTAATTTATGAAGGAAAGGAATGCATACATTTAAATTAAATTTCTAGAACACATACTAGGACGAGCATTAAATAAAATTAAAAAAATAATAATTAATGAATGAATAAAAAACAAGTCTTTGGTCAAAAGGTTATTCATAAGTACGCTAAACTTGCATAACATCATATTAAGTTTAATCATTAAGTTTGAGTTTAATCATTTTTTCGTATTTGTTCTTGAAGGGTTTCTTTATTCAGGTCATAAGAGCCAATCCACAAACAGAAGCAAATGATTTCCCATTACCCCATTTATTTTAAACCAATATTACTTGCACATTGAAAATTTAAAAAAAATAATAAAATTAATGCATTGTCTATTTTATTATAAGTATGCTTAAGTTAATATTTATTTTATGCACAAAACTTTCATTGAATATTTAATATTGTAATAATGTTTTATTTTAATACATTTACACTAATATTGTATAATGCATTACATTATTATATAATATTAATTGTAATACATTTCATTTTCATGCATTACATACATTAATTGATAAAAAAAAAACTATTTCTTTGCAATTGTATTTATTTTAACAGTTTTGTTAGTGAAATATATCTGCGGTATCGATTAAGTAAAAATATATATTATATATTATATTTGATAGATATTATATATTATACAAAAATATATAACCGGACATGAATTGAAACTAAAGAGTTTTAATTCTTCTAACACTAGGTTGCCTCAAGGAAGTCATTTTGACTGCTTTTTAACTGATTTTTTCTTTTGCAAAAAATGGATAAATAATAATGCATAAATTAATATTGTCTTTTCAAGTGAAGTAAATGTTTTCATTGTTAATATTTACTAACAGCTTGTTACATAACTGTAAATAATATATAAAATGAAAATTAATTAAACAAATTTTTCTACACGTTAGTTATTCTTTCACAATGCAGTCATTTAGACTGCTTTTGCGCAATATAGGTATATACAAAGTTTCAGTCTTTCTAGTGTTAACAGTAAAAGGAAATATAAAACTGATTCTAAGAAATTTTCAAGCTAATGACACATGTGAATACCAAGCCTTAAGATTAATTGCACTGATCAATGTTTTTTTAATTGTAATTATAAAAGTAGAGTGCATAACATAAATACACGCATATTTAAGCAAAGTTCCCAAAGCAAATACTTTAACCAGTGTTAAATAGCACTAAAACATAATAAAACATAAACATAAAAACATAATAAACATAAAACATAATAAGACAAAAAAAAATCTTCCAGACCAAAAGGTTTTTTATAATTTACACTTGCAGAAGATAGCAGGTTTTGAATTTAATTCTTTTTTTCTGATTTGTGAATTGTTCCAAGGGCTATTCAGACCATTAGAACAATTCGCAGATCTAAAAAAAAAAAAAAAAANAAAAAAAAAAAAAAAAAAAATAGGGAAGAGAACAATAATTTTCCATTACTCCATTTCTTCATTTTGAAACAAAATTGTTCGTATATTGTATATTTCAAAATAAATCTTTAAAATTAATATTTTGTTCTTATTATAGTTGATATGAGAAAGTTAATGTTTCTTTAACGTACAAAACCTTCAATGTAGAGCATTATTATTATTATAATGAAGCTTTATTTAAATTACCAAAACTTTAAGACTTTTAGGTAGTTGAAATTTATTTCTCAACAACTATATTTTTCAAACATTTATAAATATTTATTTAGAGAAATATTCGGTTTTTCGGAAATATATACAGGTTTATGAATGGAATTTATAAAAGTAGAGTGCTATAGACAAACATATATTTGAGAAAAGTTTCTAAAACTAGTGCGCGAAACACCTTAAAAATTTAAAAAAAAAGATAACGAAACAGCTTCAGATACAAAAGGTTATTCATAATTGTGCAGAAAATTGTAACATATGTATTAAGCCTTTTTTGGATCTGTAAATTGTTAAAATGGTTTCTCTATTCACCCCATGGAAACAATCTACACATCAAAAATTCAATAATATTCTCCTAGTAGTTTCGTTGATTCACTAACTGCTATATTTTATTGTTTTAATATTATTTTATCTTATTAATAGCAATTTCATTTTCAGGTTTATCTTTGAGCGTAGATAGTGAGTAATATGCATTATTTGTAAATGGTGTAATGAACTGCTCTAAAATGGGGATATTTTGTGACAAGTGACTTGTGTGACAGGCTACTATATGATATTCACGTTTTCAAGAGTTATTGATCCCCAGTGATAGAAAATGTTTTCAGAACTTCTTGCGAGGGTCTTAGAAACAGTATTAGATTTTGAATCAGGTGTTATTTCTGTGATAGCTGATACTTGTTGATCTACGAAAAATCCTTTCATAGAGTTTATTTTTTCTACCTGCGATGTGAATTAAATCTCCTCTGAGATACATATTGGTGGTTTTGTTGTCAATAAGCTAAATTAATATTCAGATTTCTTGTTCAACGAACGCATTCGATTTTTAATTAGGAAACTTTATGGTTTTAAGTTTCGGCTTTTAGTGCATGGCTTTTTTATATATGTTTAGTATGCGTATGTGCATGTAAATTCTTTTATAGTATCTGCATAAGTATTAGTATATGTTATAGTATGTGTGTCTTAATTGGCATGTATATGCAAACCCTTTAAAGTTTATTTATCTACCTGCGATTTGCCTTAAATCCCCTCTAAAATACATATTTTTGTTCTTTTTTGTCAATAAGCTAAATTGATATTCAGATTTCTTGTTCGCTGAACGAATTCTATTTTTCATTAGGAAAATTTATGGCTGTTAGTTTAGGCTTTGAGAGTGTGGCTTTTTTACATATGTTTAGTATGTGAATATTAAATCCTATTATAGAATGTGTATTAGTACTAGAATGTGTATTAGTTTGTGTGTATTAATTCGTATACGTATATAAATACTTTTATAAAGTTTATTTTTCTACCTGCGATTCTATTTTTTAATTTGAAAACTTTACGACTTTTAGTGTATGACTTTTTCTTACATGTTTAGCATGTGTACGTGTTTAGTACTGCTGTTAGATTTTTTAGTGGAAACTTAGTGGCAATTTTTAGATATGAGTAGATCAATAATAAATGCACTAATTGCAACAGTGAAAAGAAACTGATCTCGACAATTCTTGATGTGACATGGCAATACAAGTGGAAGGTGTGCAGATAAAGAATTATCATAAGCCCATGACAAAACACATTCATAAAAAATATTCATTATGTTTCACTAAGTAGTTTATCTTTGCTAAAACTTTAACCTTAAAGAAGGCTTGCATTAGACTTTGCAAAAGTAGACAAAATAAGGTTTATTTGTACATCCTGATCTTGTTTGATAACACTAGAAACTAAATGAAGAAAGTTCTCATATCCAAACGAGACTGCTAATAATTTGCCTCATGTTGAATTGAAAATTTAGTTTAAATTATAAGTTCGTAATTAATAATAATTAGAATAATAAATAAAATAATAATACTAAAAGAGTTTTTAACTACAGTAAAATTAATAACATTAATGGAAATAATTACAGCAGTATTCATAACTATAAAAAAAAACTTTTATTTCAATTTTTTTGTTTTCACTGAAATATTAAAAAGTATATAAAGTTTTTTAGACGTATTGGGAGTACAGATAAGTTTCCTAGCAGTTTATTGGGAAATAAACGGTACATTATATTTTATTCAAAGTATTCTTCTTTATTAGACACTATTTTTTCCCATCTTCCTGGGAGCATTCGGATGCCACGTCAGAACAACTCTTCATCTTTCGAGGATATTCACGAAACGACTCATTTCGTAGATTCTTCAAATGATGTAAATTTCTGCTCCGACAGACCATGTGCCATCGACCGGAATAGGTGATAATCTAAAGGGGCAAGGTCTGGCGAATACGGTGGGTGGGCTAAAACTTCCCGTTTAAGTGTTTCCAAATAGAATAATCAATTTTCATGCAAATTCGACTCTCAATGTCTCTCGGTTCAGTTCGAATGGAACCCAGTTTCCTTTTTTTGGGATCATTCCCAATGATTTTAAACGATGTGAAATTGCTTAATGAGTCACTTGTAAAGTAAGAACAAGTTCTTTTATCTACTGGGAATAATCTTGCTCCAACAATTCTTCCAATTCCTTGTCTTCGTGCACTTTTGGTATTCCACTGAGTTCTTTGCTTACCGAGTCAAACTCAACGTTTTAAAACTTCTGAAACCACTCACGACAACTTCTCTCACTTAGAGAAAACTCACCATATGCTTCTTCAAGAAATTGATGTGCCTCAGCAGCAGATTTCTTTAAATTAAGGAAGTAAATCAAAAGTTCTCGCAATTGACGCTTATTTGGCACAAAGCTTGATACTTTTGCACGAAAACAATTACGTATGACTAATACGGAATCACTAATACTTTAAGGCTATGTTGTTACTAGATGAACAAACTTAAAATAATTACACCAGGCAATTTCTACATAACCTTCTGGTTGTGCCATCTTGTGACGAACGGCGAAAATTTATTTGTACTCCCAATATTCTTAAACCTTTGTGACTGTTTTTATTATCAAGTTTTACTATTTGATAGAATTGCATTTTTGTCCATTTTGAGGCGATAAATTACGTATTACCCACTGGTGAGACTTTGTGACATAGAATATTTTATTTACATTAAGATTACTTATTACAAAGATTTTCAAATATACTTTGTAAACAGAGCTCTATATTGCAATTTAAACTATGTATCCAAGAAAAAAATTCGAAAAGAGTCCAAAAGTTACCCCACTTTTCCTTACATGAAATTCTTGAAATACACAAAATTTGCTGTGCGATTCCGTTGTATCACTGGTTTATTTAAAATTCTGTTGTAATTTAGATTCATTTTATGATCAAATATTTTATTTTCAAGTGGTTAGGAAGCATGTTAGGGGTAGGGGACATTGAATAAATTTTAATGCTAGTAAATTATGCTTTGAACCATGTAAAAGTAGCTCTTTAATTCAAAAAGGTTTTCCACATTCCTAAAACTTAATATCAAGTATTACGATTTGATAGAATTATATTTCAGACAATTTGGAATCGATGAATTACGTACGATTTAAGTATGATGTACGATAAATTACGTACGATTTAAGTATGATGTACGATAAATTACGTATGACATCTTTCCTTATATGAAATTCTTGAAATACACAAGATTCGCTATGCAATTCCGTTGTATCACTGATTTATTTAAAATACTAATGTCATTTCGGTTTTAGTTTTTTAATTCAAAAATGTATTCCAATTTCTAAAAGCAATTTTTATGCTCTAATTGATACTATGAAAAAGTAGGAAAATTTTTTGAAATATAAATATTTTGGAGAACATTTTAGTAATTTTGGAGTACATTTTGAAAATTTTCGTACCGGTATAGAATGCTGGAATGAGAAGTTTTTTAGTTAATCAATGAAGAATATTTTTTCTAATTCCTTATGCAGTTTTATTTTATCCCTGATTTGAATAAATTACTGTTGTTATTTCGATTTAATTTATCTTGAAATATTTTATTTTTATGTGGTGTAGGAGACATATTAGATCTTGGTGGGTAAATTTTAAATTTTGTAAGTGGTATGATGAACCATGTGAAACCAAATATAAATTCTAATTCTTAAGTCAAAATTATTAAACAGGAGGTAGGAAAAAATAACCATTACTACACTAATTCATGAAACTCAAAAATATATTCCAAATTTTTAAAACGATTTTTATGCTCTAATTTATGAAATTAAATAGAATATAAATATTTTCAGAACTTTTTAGAAATGAAAGTTCTTTTACGACAGATATTGAATGTTGAAAAATGAAGACGATAAATATTTAAAACTTCGTATGCAGTTTTATTGTATAAACTACTGTTGTTATTTAGAATTAATTATTTTTTAATTATTTTATTTTTAGATGTTTCACATGATTTAGGACTAACATCAGGTGGTGGTGAGTAAATTTTAAATTTTGTAAGTGATGTGATGAACCATGTGAAAGTAATTCTTGAAACTCAAAAATATATTCTAAACTTTTAAAATGATTTTTATGCTGTAATTTATAAAATTAAATGGAACATAAATGTTTTAAGAATATGTTAGAAATGAAACTTCCTTCACGACAGATATTGAAATGACGAAGATAAATATTTGAAATTTCGTATTCAGTTTCATTGTATCCTTGATTTACATAAATTACTATTGAATGTTGGAAAATGAAGTTCTTAAAAATTCAATTATTAGCGTTCAATTATCTATTTAAGTGGTGGTGGTGGTGCAAGAGGTCTCTTCAGAAAGAGTAAGAAAATTTGAAACTTTTAAAAATTGCACACAGAATTTTCCGTATGACCGCCATTAATCGATATTTAACGACACCTTGTCAAAAATAGAGTGATCAAAACATTCATATAGGAAATTAAAAATTAATAATTATGTTTTAAAAAAATTAAAAATGGTATCGAATTCTTACGGATAAGGCATCAAAACCAGTTTGATAACCTGATGAGTATTGGAATTGTTTCTTATATTTTCATTTTCAATACATTTAAAAATAAATTCAAACAGGTTTGGATTTTTTTCATATCCGCATTCAACTGTAAATAATTTCCAAATCCTGCAATGAAATTTTAACTAAAATGAACTGGAAAGCATTGCGTGAAACTTTGATATTAATTCTTAAAGAGTAACCACTTCGTTTGTTATTTTGTTTCATAGAGGTAGGAAATCTTAAATTTGAGCAACATGGGAAAATTTTATTCATTACATTCGAAGTAATAAACGTTTGATAACTCTGAAGAATTGTGATTAAACCTCAGCTTTGTCATCAGATGTTTAATTACATGTATTATAGAGACAAAATTAATGATGAAATATACATTAATATGCAATTACTCGTAATTTTTCGTGCTATTCCGTTTTTCATCAATATTAAATTAGTATGCAATAGTATAATGTATTGTCATCTTTACTTTAAATGTCACAAGTTTAAAAAAATATTTTGTTTGCATTTATTTCTAATTCGTGTCTCTGAGAATTGTCTACATTAAACTCACGGGAACGTAAAGTAAAAATTGCCAAATTTGGTGATTTAAAAAAAAAAACGCGCCAAAAGTGGTTGTCGAACAGCATTTTCACCGAATGACTCTTCGCACAATGGTGGAATACTAACAACAATAAATCTTAAACATTAAATTATAACATATTTAAAGAAAATAAAAAGAAAACTTCTTAATTCGTTAGCTTCTATACCATCAATAAAGTACAAACCCTGCAAAGAAATTACCTAAAACTGATACTAAGCAGGGGGCAATACACAAAAATTAATTTTTTCAGAATAAACATTTCATTCAACATTTTCTTTAGATATATCTTTGGTTTGAGTTAATAGAGACTAAGTTCAGAAATCCCGAACTTTAAATTCAAAATTTTAACATAATTAAAAAAATGTGAGAAAATGCGATCGTTGAAATACTTGATTTAATGTAAGCTTTTCGATTTATTTCATTGTTAATTTTTTTTTCTTTTAGTGGGTGAAATGTTAAATAGCGCTGGGTATTTCTTTTAATATTTAAAAGATTCCAACATATTTTGATTTGCTTTTGTTTTTTTAGTTCAACACAACACAGAATTTTAGCAATGACGTCATTCAACTTAAAGATATTTTAAAAAGTTGAAATGCAAGATACAAAATAAATATTTAAATGTAACTTAAATATCAAATGTCAACTTAATCAAATATTTTTGTTAAACGAATCGAAAAAAATACTATAGAATTTTAAAGATCGAGTATCTAATACGTTTTTATTAAATTAATTACGATTATATTTTAGGTGCCTATTTGATCTACACACTAAAACTCTGAAATTTGCCAGACTGGTTCTTGGTTAATAGCATTTAATCAAGTGTTAACATCCAAACCAAAAGACTGAAAAGCTTATTAATGTAACACTAATGCAACGTTAACAACCAAATCAACGCAGTCAAAAATCTGTAAATGTGATCAAAATCACCCCACCAAAACACAATAGTACTATTCGGTATAGAGCAATTCCACAAGAAATAAAGCAAAATGTTGAAGTTTCAAACTTTAGCAAACTTGACATGTTTTAGATCAGCTGAGAGTGTTATTTTTATTGTAGTGCAACTTGGCATTGATAAGTATTTAATTACCATTTCATTTCAAACTGAAAACTTTAGTTTCAACTTTCTTTTATAAAATATCTGAATTAAGTGATTAAAAAAAAACACTATTTTAATATTTCAAAAAGCATGTTCAGCTCTTATTGCAATTAGCATATTTTTAACCACATAATACTACAGTTTTGTGAAGAAGGACTACTTTTTTTGAAAAAGAAGGTTTTGGCCTTTGAAGAATTTCAAATTACCAATTTCTTACGTCCGTAACAGAAAGTAAGTTAAAGTTCACGTACGTAGTATATCTTACGTCAGAAACAGATCGAGAATTCGAATTTAAAATAAATTGAATGATATTAATGCATATAAATGCATTTCAAAGATAACAAATAATATTTTTCATGTCGCTTCAATAATCCCAGAATTCAATTTTATATTATTTAGAATTTCAATTTTAAATTCAAATATTTTCAGATGACCTTAACAAGATGGATTTCTTAGAAAAAAAGCAATTTATGTGGTGACAACTGAAAAGCTTTCAAATGACAAGAAAATGCGGATGAACTTATAGTAAAATTTAAGATTAATTTCAATGAATAATTTATTTATTCCAAACTTTTTAATTCATACGTACATACATATTTCCTTTCACACCAAATTGGAGCATAGGACTTCTATCATAGCTTTTCATTCCACTCTATTTGTAGCCAGATATTTTGCCTCTCTCTACGTCTTTCCTATTGTTTTCAATTCCCTTACAATCGTCCTGTGACAAGTATTTTTAGGTCTTCCTCTTTTTATATTACCATAAGGGTTCCAATCAAAAACTTGCTACTCTGAATTTTTCATGTTAGCGCACAACATGACCAATCCATTTCCCTTTATGCTTATGTTTTTCTTTTCTAAGGATTCCTGCATTGCAAATTTTATGGAACCACTTGATACGTATGATTCTATTTAAACAGTTGTTAATGAATACTTGAAGTTTTTTCATGTCATTTTTATTCCAGTGCCATATTTCTAATCCGTTTAGTTGGACAGATTTACCATTAGTGCTAAAAATTCAAAATTTTTGCTGAATTTGATATGTTTTTGTTTTTCCAAAATTTACTGAGAATAGCGTAACTGCTTCGGGATTTGTTTAATCTATTGAGTATATTTTAATCAGTTTCTCCTTTGTTTAATCTATTTAGTATATCTTAATTAATTCCTCCTCTGTTTAATCTATTCAGTACATCCTCATCAGTTCCACCTTTGTTTAATCTATTTAGTACATCTTCATCAGTTCATCCTTTGTTGTTAATTATACTTCCAAAATACGTAGCACTGCTTACTTCCTCTAGTTTATTATTTTCTAAGAATATGTCATTTTATAACAAGCCACATTTTCATTGTCTCCAAGCTTAAAATTTTACTGTTTGTTTGCATGTGTTCAAAGGTGTTGGTCATTCAAGTCGTCTGCATAATAAAGATCAGAATGGTCTTCAGAAAAAAATCCATCTTACACCTTAATAATCCAGTCAATAGCAATAAAAAAAGATTGTTAGAGAAAGTATACAACCCTACCTATCACCGGAATCAACTTTGAAAGATTCTGATTGTCAACCGGCATAGATAACTAGTAAATTGTAATTCTTATATATATATTTCCGATAATGCTTACGAAACATTCAAGAATTCCACAGTACTTCAACAGCTTCCAGAGTGCTCCTCTGTTAACCTTTTCAAAATCTATGAAATTTAAATGAATTGTTGATTACCATGCAATTGATAGTTCCACTATAATCCTTAACGTCGCAATGTGGTAGACGCATGATCTATTAAACTTGTTTTCTTTGATCGCAGGTTTTTCTCAATTGCATTTTTTCATTTTTTCCAGCATTATTTTAGTGCAAATTTTGCTGCATACATTTAACAAAGTGGCATCCTCACCAAAACATCTTCACTCATGAAATTTGAACTCATGAAATTCAAATTTAATTTGGACAATGATGACTATTGTATACGATTGGGGAGGCTCCTTGGTGAACGCCTCAATCTTTTCTATACTGTATAAAAGCACACCGTTTCTGCGCCTGATTTGATGGTATAAGGTGCCATAGTAAACGACACATGGAAATCCTTAACATTGATCCACGGCATCGGGACAACACAGTTCGTGATAAATTTCAGCTACATGTGTTTCTCCAGAGATCCCAGTAGCAATTCTTTAAAAAGACAATGCTCAGCCACGCGCAGTAAAAGGATGCCACAAGAATGCCACCACCACATGAGCACATTCCGTTGACTTGCTCTATCCCCAGAATCTTGCATTTGAGCTTGAGGTGGCTCAAGCGGGAGCTAAAACCTCAACTCAAATACATTTTTTCCAGTACATAATTATCACTTTGCTTTGATTTTTTAATCACATAATTATATCAGCGCTGTTCTATCATACATAAAATTTCGTTTCGTTTTGACAAATCTGTTTTGGTGGGTTAATTTTTACGGCAATTAGCATATATAGGGACAGATGACTTAACTTTTGACATGGCAACCCATGGGTCAAACAATCTTGGAGAGGTAGAAGGACAACTTCTTGTACATGCTCAGTGTAAATTAAACTCGGTAGATGTATGTGAGGGTATGAAGTTCTTTTTCTGACGAAATCAGTTTTTTTTGCCTATTTTAAAAGGGACTGGCACTAATATAGAGCATTGGTGTTCTGTCAGACTTTGCTTCAGATCTGGCCAACTACAACTTTTTCAAAATTCCAGAAGGCCTACGAAAATACTGTTTTCTCAATGGTTTTTTCGTATCTTAAGCATTTTTAACAAGAGTTTC